GGGGGTGGTCCCTGTCCGGCCAGGAAAGGCAGTGAGGGCAGGGAGTGCTCAGGGTCAGGTCGTGTCCTGGCAAGGAGTTAGTTAGGAGGAAAACATGGGGCGGGTGGGGGCGAGGGGCAGGAGGTATGGAGGGCATGAGGGAGCAGAGGAGGTTTAGAAAAATAGGGAAGTCGAGAGAGGGTCAGGGGAAGGTGTGTGGAGTGAGCCTGGGCTGGCTGGTGTTTGGTCTGTTGCGTGTGAGGTTACAGCTTAAATCGATGAACTGATGATGGTTTGGCTGCTTTAGGAAGAAAAATAATAAAAAGATCTGAGCCTTTATGAGTTTGTTTCCACACCACCACCACGATTTAATAGATGCTATAGGCAGACTGCCCTTTTGAGCAACAAATAGGCATGTTTGCATCTATTTGAATTTCTTCATTGTGTGAGGAGGAAATGCCTGTAAATTATGTTTAATAACATCATTAGCAATTCGATAAATATTTCCCAGTCTTAGGAAGAATAATGCCAGTTCTGTGGAATGAAATTGGAACATAAACCTTTGGGGGGACTCCGATGCAAGCAGCTCTTTACAAGCTCTCCACCAATTTTGCCAGTGCTGGAAATAATCTGGGGCATTACGGCCATGGTCAGTGTGGTCTTCCAGCTCCAAAGAGGGCACTCCCCACAGTTCTTGCCTGGGGATCCTACAAAATGTTGCCCTTTCCTGGCACAAAGCAGGATTGTGGGTCACATGAGAAGGTTTGGGGATGGGGGCGAGGAGGGGGGACGAAAGCAGAGCATTAAGGAACCCCTGGTAATCCCAGATGCGCTCAGGAGGTGGGGTTAGTGATCAGGGTATCTCTAGTGGGATGTTTCATGATGTTTTGGGTTTGGCGTGAAGTCGACACTGCTCTGTCGTGAGCATTCATGTTCAGTCACTCCTCTGTTGGACCCCTGCGTCAACTCCTGCTTCAGTGGATGCTGGATCAAAAAAGTAATGATATTCACCAGGTAACAGGGGTCATACAAAGAGAATAAGAGAAATGGTTTCCCACCATCAGAGAACACAGAAACTACTCTCCTTGCTTGCCTTTTCCTGCAGCCCCCCATGGAAGCTCCTGCAGCAGACTGGATGGGCTTTGCAGAAGCTGATGGGCAGTTAACCCTAACTGCTCTCACTGCACCAAGTGTCTTTCTCAGTAAGGTCCCCAGACATAACCACACCAACCCACAGTGGGGTGGTTAGAGCAGCAGCCCTAACTTAGGTTTCTCTTATCAGCCACTGCTGACTCCGAGCTCAGCAGGAGTTAAACCACACAGGATGTCAAGCACAGGACACAACCTGTGTCCATATTGCGGCAGTCTGTCACATTTCACTTGACATGAATATACTTCTGTCACTCGAGAGCTGAAGCGGGTATAGAGATTTTCTTATAGTGATCCCAGAGATTTTCTTTCTCCTGGGGCTGGAGGAAAGAACTTGGGGGACAGAACGAGGAGAACGTCCTGAGTTAATTTGCAGGTTTCTTATGTCGAAATAGCCTCTGTGGCCCCTGTGAGGTCACGGGCGCCATTCCAGCTCCCAGAGTTGCTGGCCAGGCCCCTGTGAGGTCGTGCCTTCCTGTTCCGTAGGCAGCAGCCCTGGGGCTGCCAGGGTGTCCCAGCATCTTTGACATGTTGTGGACATGAGGACACCTTCCTCACCTGCTCCAAGGAACCCATCTTCCCTTTAAACTCAACAGCAAGGAGGATCTATCGAGAGGTGGATGGCAAATGTATATGCTTACATTCTTCCTTGCTTATGCCAGTCCTCCGACACAGCTTAGAAGTCACTTTAAAGAAAATGTGGACAAACTGCCTGAAAAATGATAGTTTTCTCTTTGTTTGACTCCAGTATTCTCCCACAACAGTGGTTGGCAACTTCACAAAGGTATGTACTGAGCTGGTGTTTCCTCTTCCCAAATTAGGACGTAGAGATGCCTGTAGAAAATGAGCACCACTGTCTGCTTCTCCAAAACTCAAAGCACTGCTGTCCCAGTTGAAGTATCTTGCCTCTCTAAGCCAGTGCTAATCTCCTGTTTCTACCGAGCACCGCGCTTACTAGGAGCTAGAAGAAGCTGCAGCCTAGAGAAACAAGATGCTTCAGGTGTCTGTGCCACCACAATACCTTGTGCAGGGCAGCGCTTTGTGCCTCCTCTGAATGGCCTCTGCAGACCCACATCGCTCAGGCTGCGGCTGCGTTCGGCCCGTGCTGCCATCGCTGGTGCTCACTCAGCCTCCAGAGCCAGTGGCTTCTTCCCCGGTGGCTGCCAGAGCTGCCCATGAGTCGTTCAGTGGCTTCCATTCGAATGAGAATGGGCAAAGGGGGGCCTGAAAAAAATGGTTAAAAGTAGGAGAGACAGGAAAGAAAAATAATGAATGATAAAAGGAGAATGAACAGCTTTTCTGTTATAACTCACCTATTAGTTTACGTTCATAGCCACAATCTTGCTATTGCCGTAATCATTTAACATTGCTAATATTGAATATTAATAAACATGTATAAATTTGAATATGCTTTTAGTGTGAGGGAGGCTGATACTAAATATGTAACGACTCACAGTCCTATTATACTAATCTGTCCTTGATAGGAATAGTAATTTCTAAATTGCATCTTTAATGAAGATTTAAATCTTTTTTTTCTGTAGTAAGTATATAATATGATTTGGCTTCAGATTTTTTTTGAGATAGAAAGCAGAAAAAGTACAGGAAGGAGAACTCTTACAAAGTTTAGATGCACTTTTATTAATTATCAAATTATATGTTTTTTCAAAGAACAACGCAAAAAAGCAAACCACAGTAAATTAGAGAAAGAGACTGCAGACCATGTTTTTGCTTCTAGCTTTTTGTTTTTAAAATCTGCCGCAAAAAGACATTCGCAGCGTATCATGAAATGTAGAATCTGAGTATGCTCTTGGCAGTCTCATATTGCTGGCTTGTGAAGCACTTGAAAATGAATTCAACAGCATGTCTGTGCTCTAGGGCTACTGTCCTACAAATACTTGCACATGTGTAAAATCCCATTTCAACCAACAGTGCAGCAAACGTGCCCAGAACTAAGTACCTGCAGGTAGGCAAGAGTAAGGCATCACTGAGCATAAGAGACTATGCGTAGACACCTGGAACACTGCGGCTAATTTCTCTTAGCTGTGGAGTGGAGCTGCATATGTTTGCCTGCAGGCACACAATTTTCTTAACTGGTAATCTACTGGGATTAAGAATTTATTTAAAGATCTCAGGCTCCACAGGACAGGAATAGAACAGGAAGGAGCAGCTAAATATACACCAGGAAGTCCTTATGAGCACTTGTATGAAAAGGGAATTCAGCACATCAGATTTAGTGCTAATCCACACTAAGCAAGTGTAGCCCGTACAGTTGTTCTGATGAACCCTCCAATGATGATGCAGGTTTGTTAGTTGAAATAGTCTTCTCCCGATCTCACTTTGCTATAGAAACACAATAAGAAAAAAAAAAGCATGCTTTCTAACCATTACTGCTCCATCTGTGAAGTTATTGCTGTTAATAGTGGCTATGTTTCAGGGTTGTTATCTACAACACATTCCAGAGAAGGGCTGAACGAAAGTGCCAAGTATTTGAAATGCTGCTTGCAGAAGCATCATTAGGCCAGTTCCTTGCTGCTATGTATCTGTTCCAGTTCCCTTAGCTGTCACATCTCTTGTTCTGTTACGACTAAAAATAAACAAATACAGAGGGGAAAAATAAATAGCATAATGATTCAAAAACGTTTAGCGGACACAGTTCCTTTGGTTGCTGTCATGGCAGGAGCGAGAACGCCAACTTCGTTCATTGAGCCTGATGTCTCACCAGGGAAGTCACTTCATGGATGGCTCTCTGGTACTTCTCGGAGGCAGCCCTAAACTGGGCCAGGTGTTCCTCGTAGCTTCTCACGGCTGCCAGAAGCTCATTCCTCTCCACAGCTCCCAGGATGGCGTGGAGGATCATTTCAATGCCAAGCCCGAGAATGGCAATGCTGATCCCCCCCAGGACAGATGCCCCAATCTGTGCAAGGAGACTGACAAGTTTGCCAAGAGTGAGAGTTATGAAGTTGGAGCCAATTAGTTTGATAGCTACCATCCCAGCTGTGGAAGTTGCTTCTCCAAGAACAACAGAAAAGACTCTGTGGGCTATTGCAATTTTCTCTAACTCCGGCTCTTTGATATCATGCAGCTTCTGGTACAGCACAGGCTCTAGCTTTTCCTTCATGTCACTATCAATCTTCTGTACTTGGTGCTGAATCTCACTCATTGCCTGAATGATAATGTCACAGTTTTCCTTGATGGTACTGCTCTCTCTTATCTTAATATGGGGAATTGTGCACCCTAGGTGTTCATTCAGCACTCCAGCCAGCTCATTTGTTGCATGGAAATTTGTGGACATGCAGTCAAGCAGCTCCTGGTGCAAATGGATCAATTCTTGACGTCTCCTGGGGTTATCTGGGTAAAGGAGATCACTCAGCACCATTCTTCAGAAATAAGCTACATCCAGAGAAAAAAAAATCTGTTTAACATCTAGATCTTTAGCCCTTGAAGAGAAGTAAAATGTGCTTTTTTTGTCTCTGCCTCACTGATTCTTTTTAGCAAATCAAATTCCAAAGTATTGTTTATAAGTCTAGAAATCTTAATTGTTGTTTGGGGTCTTCAGACCTGAAAGTTGCACCTATTGAATTTTGCAATGTTGAAATACCATTGAACTTGATTTACTGAAGCCAAATAATTGGAAAGGGACATTTTGAAACTTCAGCATATTCAGATCAATGAAAGCAACTAACAAATATGTAATTAGCAGGTTAGTAAAAAGAAGAGCACAAAATGTGTCATTCTTCACTTAGGAAGCTGAAAGTGGTAGAAGCTGAACTGGTTCATTAAGGAATCTCATCTGCAAAATCTAAAATAATCCGAAAACATGAAAATGCCTGTTCTAAACAGGCATCAGCCTATTTTCTTCAACTAGTAGCATCTGATTTATACACCACTGCAAAGGCTTCTGGAGTGGACACAGCCTGTACCAACATAAGGGTTTTTTGTTTTTGTTTGTTGTTGTTGTTGCAGGGTTTTTTTTTGCAGCGCGATGTATCTCTTCTGCAGTTCAAGAGGAAGTATTATCTATAAGCACCTTTATACTAATAAACTCATACTTGGGAATTCATAGAGAATAGTGAAAGCTTCCTAGATAAATCCATCCTAATATCACTTTGCACATATTTGCCACTGTGTTTTCTTCATCAATATTTAGCCCCTATTTCCTTATTATCATTGATTTCTTCAGTGTTCCTCCTCACTCTTGTTCATAGTGCTATAAACAATTCCCAAACAATTTTTTTACTTGCAGCTTCAAACAACTATAGGCATCTCCCGTCATGTGGATTGTGCCACACAGTCGCAGTGAGGTGCACCTGTTCCCCAAGGATGGGTGTGATAAGAGACTGCCTTGGAGCAGCACACACCAGCTTGCAGGGAGCACCCTGCCTGTGCAGCCTGGCTGCTCCTGGCTGTCCTTTTTAGATCTAACATCAGGTGCTGGGACATGGCTGGGCAAAGTCGGAACCTCTCCCATCGCTGTACAGACCAGAGCACAAAAACTAAAATCTTTTTTTTTTTCTCTCTAAACTCTTGTGTCCAATCCTTATGGTCACTCGTCTGACCTGTCTCCGGTTTGGCAATAAGAAGGCATGTTTTGTATATTTTTCTGCATCACTTGCATGTATACAAGGTCCAAAGTGACAGTTACCGAGGATTGTGGAGTTATGCCTCAATTCTAAGCTTCTGTAATTGACTCTGTGCCACTACCTTTTAACCCATCGTCAACTGCAAAGAAAAATATTTTTGCATGATTTTTGAGTTATCAAAGTCTGCAACTGGGGTGAACTCTGAATGAGTAGAACACCTGATTTTTTTTTGACACTTTGTTATCCTCAGCCATCTTATTGCAAATCTTGGCCACTTTTATGGATTAGTTTGCAGTTTTCCAAGATAAATCTCTCGTTATTTTTGCCTACATACCACACTTAAAACTACAAATTGTTATGAGTAGGAGATTGGCTAGATTTTTCTTCTGGAATAACCCCTTTTTGTTACTGATCCAGCTATATTTCACTAAATTCACCCCCTCCCTGACAAGATCACTGTAGAAAACCAGAATGATTTCAACAGTCCTCTAGTCAGCTTTTAATCCCAGTGTTTAAATACAAGCCGCTATGAAGGGATTTTTTCCCAATAGTGTTTTGTGAAGTACTGCACACTGAATTAGGAATACATTTCTTTAAGCCACTTACCTTGCAACTCTGCCAAGAAAATAAACTCTTTAACTCATTTTTTCTTCAGGCTGTAGGGAACAAAGTTCATACACAGTAAGAATTTATGATTTTCTGAAAACATAAAGCCCTATGAATGCAAAGTATGGTTTCATGTCACTTCTGCCTCAGGGATATTGTTCAGTTGCTTCCTGACTCAGTGGTACTAGATCTTTTCCACTTCAATGATGTTTTGTTAAAAGGTCATTTGTTTATTCTTACTTATAGAAACTATGAGAAAACAAATTGTTCTATGAACAACACTTCAATGAAAAACTTACATATTAGAAAGACACGTAGGAGTTTTCTAGCATCTATTTTTTTATCCTTTGCAAGGACTACTTCTTCACCCTTCTTGACCATATGCCCTTTAGAACTGAAATTACCTCTTATTCTTCACATCGGCACTTTTGCTAGTTGTTGCATTCACTTTCTAGAGTTAGTCTGACTGCTTATATTTCTGTATTTCTGCCCGTTTCTTCAGTTCCGAGGAGATATTTTCCAGGAGAGTTTCCAGAGGCTTTTCCAGTTAAACATTTGGACTGCCTACTGATGGTGACAGAGCGCTGCTGCAGTCAGCTGAACGTGTGCAGGACAGTGACTTCAGCCTCTTTCCCCGGCTGCCTCTGGAGCTTTCCAGCAGCATGTGATGAGTTATAGACCCAGCGCGTGGGGCTTCCTCTGGGTCCTGCTGCCTCCCTGCTCTCGATTATTCCTGTTGAATGATGTTTTGCTTCCTTCCCTCCAGTTATAACACATTTCAGTTTATTTTAGGCTAGGTCCCATTTGTTAGATGCTCAGGGCCTAGGTCCAAAGGCCTTTTGTTCCTGGAAAGAATAATCACAGCATGAAGAGATCTGCTTATGATAAACGAGCCATCGTGAACACCAGTAACAATGTCTGAAAGGCGGTGCTATTACTTGCTGTTGTCAGAACATTTAACATTTAGGGCAGCACTTTTCATTCATCTGTGTATAAGATTAGGTACCTAATTTATAAATCGTACTAGGATTTATGAATTTACATTTTTTATAAATATATATAATACATGCTAGTGTTTTGAGCTGTTCTTTGAAATGCTGAACTGCTGCCCATGACTGTCTTTGTACACCTATGACTTATGGAATAGAAGTTAAAAAGTACAGCACAGATAGAAAAATAAACACCAAGACTGTGAAGTGAGTGGTACAGGCTTTGTCTGCCCCAGCAGGAGAACCAGCACTTCTGCATTTATCCTGGCTAGAGACCTTTTATGCACTGAGCTTTAGAAAGACAGACCAGCTCTCCACCAGGACCTAGTCACCGTTCTGCCTCCCACATCAGAATGGTTGAGTTCTCACATGAAAGTACGAGACCAGTCCTTCTATCAAGCATAAAATGACTCGTCTGCAACTGTCACGTTGTTTTCCCTTGAAAAGGGGGGTTATTTTGTTCAGTCCAGAGCTACAGCATGAAACTCTCCTTGATTTCAGAGCTGTAGGCATGAGAGCATGAGCTGAGAGAGAACACTAATGTTTTAATTATTACTTTTCTGCAATTAGCTGTCCCCTGCCCTTTCCCATCTGTGACTCCTTTTACTGACTGAAAGTGTCATGCAGACCTGGAATAGTTCCTCAAATATTGAACTTGACTGAATCCACCAGTCTAGTAACTGCTTCTTTTCACACTTGTGGAAACTGATTTCAGATCCTCAAGGTTTGTAGTGGATGTCAACCATTCCCTTCTGCAGCCCCTACTCCATTGTGTGGAACGTGATTCAAAATGATTTGAACAATAAACCAGCAGCTTTGTTCCAGTTTTGCTCCAGTTCTTTAAGCAAGATAATATATGGTTTAAGACCCTTTACATTCAAGGGGAGGACTTCATTTGATGTGTCTGTTATTCTTCTGTGCTGCAATTTCTCAGGTCCTCTCCTCTGATGCAGCAAGAGGGCAGAAAGTGGCATATGGAGCCCCAGAGGCAGCTCTGGCTTAACACCAGTGGAGGCTAAAATCTATTTTATCACCTCATACAATTTCAGAGTACTTCTGTCAGGATAAAGGAAAGGAGGGAGAGGTATGGGGTAGAGCTGAGCACCAAAAGAAAAGCCTTGAAGCGTATGAAGTGGAACTATGACAGCTTGGATACCTCTAGTTGCACATCTCGTTGCAGCAGAGCTGATGAAACATGACTGCTGGCTGCAGCACCTGCAGCCACTCTGCCTTTCCAGGGGAGGCCTCGAGCACAGGCAGAGGTGACGCCAGGAGTGGTGCTATTTTGTTCCCCCAGCACTGTGCTTCTCTTGGCCTGCTCCTCCAATTAGCCTTGGGAGAAGGCCTAGTAGTTACAAGCACAGTAAGGTGGGAGCCCGGGCAGGGACACTGTTCCCTGCTTCTGCCTACTGAGGGACACCTGTCGCTAGGTAGCAGGTTGCAGCATCTACCCAGTTTACGATTTGGCAGATGTGGGTCAGTTCAAAGGAAAAGGTGTCCTAACAGCACATTGCATTATTCAGCCTAGAACTGTTTTGTCTCTTGACAGCAGATGACTCATTTGGCAGACTGACTTTTCTCTGTCCATCCCCCTGCCCCTACCTAATACACAAGTTTAATTCTGAACAGACCCATTGGTGTACTCAAACCAAGATGATAGTTCTAAGGATGATGTAAAGTAGAAGACTATTTACTAGGACTCCCATAGACCTACCAGTAAACACCAACAGGCAAGAATTATTCTCTCACGAACCTTATGTTGCTTTTCAATTGAGGGTTAGATTCATAATTCCAGCAGCTATTGAAATAACAACATTTGTAGCTGCTTAGTCCATATTTTGTGGGTCTGCCTGGTAAGTAAGACTTGCAAAGGCTTGCAGAAGTTGTTTATCCGTGTTTTCTTCTAATTCTAATGTGTCTCGCTTGGGGGAGCAGGTGGGCTGCTAATTTGTAATTTTATTTTCAGAATTATAGCATTCTAGTTGAAAAGATTTTCAGTTTTTCTACCTGTGTTTTCTGGATTTCTTTTGTTTGCTTTCCAGATCTGCTCTGTAGAAATGTTAGCCCGCCTCGGCTTTGAGAGTGATAGACAAAGGCTGCTCAGAGCCAGCCAGGATCTGCATGACTTAGTGTACATGTATATCTCTTCAGCCAACACAATATTCCAGATCCTCAATGAGCACCTTGGCACCAACTTGCCAATCATTTCAGTAAAAGAAAACTTCAGCATTAAAGAGAACCTGCAGCTCCTGGTCAATTATCTGAAAGAGATGCAAGTCATTGTGGAAACAAAAGACAAAGACGTGCAGGAAAAAATCAGCAACAGTTTGTATGCTAAGATTGCTGGTCGCATCACCTCTCTACAGGATAAGATCGCTGTAGTAAAGGATCTTTATGATAATTATAAGGGGGTTTTAGGAAGCATCATGGGCGCTATCATTGCAGTGACGTTGAAAAATGACAAATTCTGTGACACAGTAGAGTCTGCTATTCATCAGTTACTAAATTCTCCTGCCTTATGTCTCCAAGTATCAGAACTTCTCATGGACTATGCTGATATTGCTAAGGCACTACCACAAAATGAAGCACCAAGTACCACGAAAGGCAGCTCTTCTTCAAAAGACACACCTGAAAAGATCAACTCTAGCTCCCAATCCTCCCCCTCTTCACTTCTTACTTTCTTACAGTTTATTCTTCGAGGACATAAATCTGCAAAGAAAAGCCTGAAAGCAGCAGCTGACTACTTTGAAGAGGCTGTCCGGGTGCTAAGACCACCTTGTGAAGCTTTCCATGCCTTTGTTAAAATGGTTGAGGCCTTCATCCCACTGATAACAGATAAGTCACAGGAGACATAAATGTGTTGACCTGTCAGAAATCTATTTTGATTCCTTTTATTTTCACATAAAGAAGAATTTGGACATGTTTAAACACAGGTACAAAAGCTATCTGCAATAGACACTTCTAATATTTTCAATCTTTTTTTGGATTTGATCTCTTTGAGCACTTAGGGGTTGAAATCAAGTTCTGTTGGTTTATTATTTAAATTCACTGATAAAACAAAAACAACAAGAATGTACATCAACTATAGATGGAAAACAAACATAGTAAAATAGTTCTGTATTAAATCTGTTTTAACTTTCTGGACAAGCATGACTGAGGATTTCAGGAACAGTAGTTCATGTTGACAGAAAATGTTAAATTTTAGATGATTAGGTGATGACACCTGCTATTGCTGACACCTAAATCCGATACCCAAAATGCTGAGCCTCAGACTGCCCCTATTTATCAAGCTGCTAAAAACTGAAAGCACATAAATCTCCTAAGTGTCTGCCTTTCTCATACTAATGTTTCTCAGATGCCTGAGCTTCTACATTACTAGCCACAATATTTCCAAGGTAATGACAAAACTGAACTTATATGGTGCTGCACAGAGCTCAAACACTTTACACAGAAACTTTTGGCTGTCCTGACTAAATGGCTGATGAGAAATCTGGGAAGCCCTCATATTCAGATCTCACTTTGATCACTAAATTGTTACTTACTGCTTTGGACATGTGATGGTGAACATAGAGCTCCAGTTTCATGCCAAGTTCAGTCATGACTGAAAGTTGTTATCACTCAAGGGCTGTTTGTGAAACGTGTCAGTGAGCGATGTCAGTGAGAAACACAGCGAGTTCTATAGTTTGATGATTCCCTGAAAAATTAAATCACCATGACTAGTCTCCTTGGACCAGTGAGATAACAACTCTGGCCATAACCTGAGGGGCTAGGATCAGAGTGGGTGAGGGGCCAGAAGTGAAGAATTTCCAGGTATTTCAGAAATAGGAAGTGCTGGCAGAAATTGTTCTTTATTTGCACACTGTTGTCATCTGGAGGGGGAAGAACTTCTTAGTTCTGGCTTGAGTGCTAAGGGTCTAGGCGAGCTAAATCAGAGAATCACAGAATCACAGAATGGTTAAGGTTGCAAGGGATCTCTAGAGATCATCTAGTCCAACCCCACTGCTCCAGCAGGGACACCCAGAGCATGTGGCACAGGGTGGCATCCAGGCGGGTTCGAAGATCTCCAGAGAAGGAGCCTCCACAACCTCTCTGGGCAGCCTGTTCCAGGGCTCTGTCACCCTCACAGGAAAGAAGTTCTTCCTCACATGGAGATGGAACTTCCTGTGTTTTAATTTGTACCCATTACCCCCTGTCCTGTCACTGGCCACCACTGAGAAGAGTTTGGCCCCATCCTCTTTACATTCTCCCCTCATGTATTTATACATATTGATTAGATCTTAATCTAATCTCCTTAGATCTCAATCTTCTTTTCTGCAGACTAAACAGGCCCAGCTTGCTTAGTCTTTCCTCATACAATAGATGATCCAGTCCCTTAATCATCTTAATTGCATTAATATGTAAAAATGAGAGCAGTTTGCAGCTAAATCAGGAGTTCAGATTTCCATGTTTGTGATGTTAATTTGACTACCAGCCTTAGACATTGCAGACCAGTGAAGCAGAAAAACAGGTCGGTCATATCCAACAATCACTGTGACAGCAGCAGGCTCCACAGAGTCTCCTCCATTTCAGTGTGAAAGGGGTAGCGTGTCTTCACCAGCCTCCAGAGGACTGCTGTGCGCACAGCATCTGCCTGAGTTCTGTGAAAGAGATGCTATAGCCAAACATGTAAGCTGAAGACAAGCCTGACAAGTCTCTCCATCCTCTACTACTAGATCTATCTCTCAGAGCAGCTTTATGTTTCTATCTACCATGTGCTAGATGCAGACAGCTTGAGATGATGATGAGCTTTGGTGCATGGGGTCATGCTGGTGGGAAGGCTGCTGGGTTGCAGCCACAGACATTGCTGTCTCCTGGGAGCCTGCATGCAAAGGAGATAGGCAGCACTGCATGCTTACCATCCAGAGTCAACCACTGTAGCGCCTTTTCCATCACACAACCACTCTGTCTTGCACAAAGCTGCTAAGAGATCTACAAAGAGTCCGAAGTCCATATATGTCTTTCCTGAATGCCCGAGGGACAAACTACCTGGAGTGAAGGCAGTCACTGCCCTACTCCTCTGTAAGGCCATCAATTGTCTTCCTCCCTGAATGGATCCAGGAACACCTGTTTTGATGAACTCAGGCTGAATATTCTGGTCTCTGCTTGAGAGTTGCAGCTGAAGTCAAAGGAAATGTTGAACCATCTATCGCAGCAGTAACTCTGGTGGCTGATATGCTGTGAACTTTTCTTGCTTGCTATTCAATGTCTATATGTGGATATAGTCAGAGCATCAGTCACTGCCTGGCCAAGCACAAGAGAACTCCAATGACACTAGGAAGAACAGCAGAAGCAGGGGGATTAAAACCACTGTTCTTGCTTCTTGAAGCTGAAAGAGAATCAAAAAAGCAGCCGTTTAGACCTCCTTTGACTGTCTAATACTTCCTGTAGTTGCTAACACAGCTCTTGTCCAGAACAGCCATTTCTACAAGTCTACCCACTATTTTGGCCTAGATTCAGGCAAAAATTCTCATTCCCGAATTACTGTTTTATGCTTAAAGGTTGCTATTGTCTAAAGAGACAAGAGTAAGATTCCCGTATTAGTGGTGGACCAAGTGAAGGACAGGGCTGTAGAAAAGACTCAGTGATGTCTTCCAGCACAAAAGCTTATTTCTGTCACCAGGAGACTCACAGTGTATGCTTTGCTAAAGGGTATTTCTTGAGACTTCCTTCTGCCACAGGAGAGAGAACAAGGCTAAAGTGGCAGTGGGCTTATTTAGCCTGAGCTGTACCTGAGCTTGCCAGGGTATCGGTGGACCAAAACTCAGCATAGTCCCAAGGCCTGATGTGTGTCAGTCTTCCAAACTACCACATTGTCTGAATTCAATCTGCCTGCACATCTCATCTACCTTCTCAGTAGGGATGCTAGGGACCCCATGGCATGGGACCTATGACACCCCCACAGCGATAGATGGGATACGTGCAAAAACCCTGCAAAAACCTTGAGACCCCTTGTGTATCAGGTGTTCCCAGGTTCCACAACAAGCAGGTGAAAATTGGTGCAAATGGGTCCTAGAGCCCCCTGACAGGCAAACACACTGGACGGTTATCGATGTGGGCTTGAGTGTGATCCCATGTGGGTGAGGGCTGCTCAGGGTGCTTGGGGGCAGATAGCCCGGCATTCCCCCACGCAAAGACGGACACACGATACCTTGCAAGAGCTGGCAGTGGTACTTGCTGTAGTTCCCCACTGAGCGCAGATACAGCCGGTTACCCCGCTGTGTCTGAGAGAAGTTTTTGACAAGGAAAATCTCATAAGGGGGGATTAGGACTTCCTTCTCAGATGTGTAGTGAGAAAAGCCTTGCACAGCTGCTCCCAGGCAAGTTGTAACTGTGAACAAAGTTTCATTACCAAACTTCTGTGCTTCTTTCCAGAGGCGGGAGGTGGAGGTGAAACGGCCAAATCTCACTCTGCTGCCTACCATGGCCTTAATATATAAGTCTTTCACACCCCTGTGCACCCGATAGCACTTATTTTTCCCTGTGCTCTCCTTGGTATTTTGCCATTGCTTCATTATCTGGATGGCAGTAGTTAGGTAGAAGTGAAAATATTTGAAACTGAAGTTGTGTCTGTAGTGCTCTGGGGAGCTTCCAGCAATAGATGTGGCCCAGTTCAGCTGGGAGTGCAGGGAGGAGTTCATGGTGTAAGCCATGAGGACTACAGCGTGACTCTCATGCATCTCCCTCAGCAAACCTACCGGGCTCTTTAGCAAATTTTCCTGAGCCTGCTTCCAAAGACTCAAATAGTTCTTGTTAGCAGCTATTTCCCTTTGGAAATAGTCTCCTCGCTCCAGCTCTTCCATCATCTGCTCTCTGCACCCCAGGTACTGGTCATCAAAGGAATACGGAGCCATATTCATCAAGTGTTGGGACATAGCCTGCAATATGAAAGCAAAACATCATTAACATCAGAAGTGTGAACTTCTTGTGAATCTCTGTGGATGTAAGCCAGGTTTTTCCCTACTTTCTTCCTTCCCTTTGTCACTGCTCGCAGAGCAAACACAGCAGGTAGGCATCTCTGACAAGTCCTTCTTGAGCGACCTCAGGCTGTTGTACAAACCTCATGGCAAGGAAGTACGAGTTAGAATACCAGAGTCTTCATTTTATGAGAATCAGTTGCATTAAAAGCTTCAGCAGAGTTTGCAGCGGTATAGATACACCAGCTGGCATGGTATAATAAAAGTGCAGAGTGCCCCCAGGTTCTGGACACACAGAAGTCGTAAGGTAGGGCTCATCAGGCGGAGATCTGTAAACAGTACCGCCTCTGTACTCCAAGGCATCAGATGCAGAGAGCACAAAACTTGTGAGGAGCATTGCGTGTTGTTAAACCAAATGCTCAGATACTCTGTTGGAAATCTAGAGGTTTCATCTTGACTTTGATGGGACCAGACTCTTCTATTCCCTTAGTAGTCAAGGTTAGTTACACTTCCAGTATCTCCCTTCTTTCCTGGAGTAAAATAGACAAAAGGACAGACCAATGATGCTTTTATTTCTGATCTCTACCAATGATTAGTAAGCTTTGAAGAAGGAAAGAATAAGCAAATAAGTATGCTAGGGGGCAGTGCAGCCTGAACATATCTCAGGGGTGACTTTCTTACTTCGGCCTTCTTATACCTCTTGGACATATTGTGGTGCAAGAGAGCATTTAGTAAGATAGTATAGAAGCACTTTTATTCATCTGGTTTGTCTAAGTAAGACCAGGTGGCTTTGATATGTCAGTAAATATTAAGCACATGAGTAAGGATTTACACAACCGGGTGGTGTAACAGGAAAATAATATATAACTAATAGCATTTATATTTCACAAAAATCTTCTCTCATAAGACCTAAGAAATGTGATGACATCATCAGATTATTCTTTTTGCTTTTTGATCTTTTAGGAGACTATAGTCAAATATTGTAGTTAGTTAATAGTTAGCTGGTTACTACAAGTAGATCTTCACTTCATCTTAGATGTTCTCCGTGGTCATATAGCCCAAATTAGTACCTTTTTTGGGCTCTGAAGTTAGTAAACTTGTCCATAAACTATGCATGGATTCAGTTTACTCTCCATGATACCCTATTTACTCTGAGGGAAAGCTTTATAGCAGTCGCAAGGAATAGAGCAATATGGTCACTGTCTCACCCGACAACAGACTGTTGTTGTCAGAGCCTCAGCTGAGACAGTCTGGGAAAGGAGAGGAACACTTCCATGAGATCTACTCAAAAACATGCCCTGGGAAACCATCTGCCTCCAAACAAGAGAAATTTATAACAATGCAGCTGAAAGGAATTAGGGTAGGTAATACATAGAAAGAGCAATTGAAAGCAGAACACCTCTCCCTTTAAGTCTAACCCAAAGCTCCATAAAGACCATATTTTAAATAGAAGAACATGGGTCTTATTTCATTGGACTTTGAATCAGTAACTGAGGAAATTTTGCCATTTTAGATAAAGTACAATGTTTCCCCCTCTCACCAGCCTTTGCAAGAAGATCAGCAACAGGAGGTTGACCAGCAGATGTGCTGATATTCTCGAATCTGCCGAAGACATTGGCATGACAGCACTCTCTCAGAAAAAAAAAAAAGGAGGTCGTGTATGTCTGTCTCTCTGTTCTTGAACTGGAAAATTCTGCAGTGTGGAATATGCCCTTAGGTTTGAGTGAGGAGTCTTCCAACAAAGATCATTCACGTGATTCTTACAGCAAATCAGAAGTCAAAAATCAAATGGACAGGGTACTGGTTCCCACAATTTATAATGAAGGGTCTGAGAGCACTGAAACCTCATAAGTTATTTCTTCAGTCCAGTTCCAGCTGGTGTATCTATCCTTCACCTTAATAATTCTCTTAATTCCAAATTATTATTTCTTGTTTATTATTATTATTATTTTAGCCATTTGCCTAACCGAACCAAATAAATAGAAGAAAGTAAGAAACCTGTGTCTTAGAAAAGTCTCTTCTCCAAGGCGGTTTTCTCCTGAGGAGTTACGTGGCTACATGAGGTGGAGAACAGTTCCTGGTCAAAAACTTAAAAAGTCCCTTTAAAGAAGTGTGGAGGTCTGATAAAACCAACAGAGAAATATGTGGTAGGTTGGGATCCCATCTGGAAACCGAGATAACGTAACTGTCCCTCTCTTCCTTAGGTCCCCGTTTTCTAATAATTTGCTGCAAATCCTATTTTTATGACACTGCAAACTGGCACCTCTTAGAATTGCTTCCATGGGTACATTCAATACGAGTGAATAAATACAGGTTCTGTAGTGGGGTTAATCTCTTTCTACTATCTGCTTTGCAGTCTCCCAGTTAAAGGACAGTGAGTTACCTGTTAGACCCATGGCCTCTGACCACTCTTCTGCCTAGAAAAGAGCCAAGAGAGGGTGTCAAGGCCTAATGCTGATTGCACAGAGGAGGCAAATCCACTTTTCATTGCATTTCTGGGGTTGGGTTGGTCAGAGAGATTTTCAGGTGGGAATCAAGAATCAGAGTGCTTTGGCTAGCAGAATAGAGATACCTGTGGTCATGGCTTGATTCTTTAGGAAAAATAGACGTATGTGTCATTGGTTGGATTCTGTGGACACACAGCATTTCCTGAATATCACTGAAATGTGGTGAGGGGGGGATAAAGGTCTCATTGGATCACTGTCAACACATTGTATGCACTGCACCAGCAGATGCTGAATGAGTGACAATATCTTCAGCCACTGGTAATATAAGATGGTAACATGAAGGATGTAAAGTGATAAATGCAGCCTATCTACTTCTTCTTGGAATCACCCCATAATTTCAGACTACATTTCAGAAAGCAGTTTTTCAACAGGTAAAACTGATTCCAGAGAGGGGGTTATGAACTTGCTCAGAGGCACCTTCTGCATTCATGTAAAGATAAAAAAGACCTAAACTGCGATGGTTCTAGTGGGCATTTTAACAGCCAGGGTGAGCAACTCCTGTATAGTCACGGATTTCTTATCAGTCCATCTGCATATTGTTCAGTTGCAGCTCATATCTTTTCCTCTTTCTGCCTGGTAGCATCTTAGTGTATGTTTTAGTATGAAGTGAATGAGGATGAAAGGCATTTGCATTTACAAAACACTTAAGAGGCGACGTGGTTTATTGTGTCACTGAGATAAATTCAACGACCACAAGATGGCAGCAGAGTATTTGCACTGATCTACAGGTCATTCTCCAGGTGAAATCTAGGCTTTTCCATTCGAGAATTAGATTTGCAGTCTGATTTAGGGATTCGGATCCCGAAAGGCTGTAGTGACTTCAGCGACATTAGCACATATAAAGCACCACTCTGATGGCACAGAGCAGACTACATGATCAAGGTCTGAGTATGCAACTTCTCTGCAAAGACTATTTACCAAAAGGGAGATAAAAATGTAAAACTAGCACAAGAATGCAAATATGGACAGGAAGCTTGAGTTTCGATTTTACCAAACAAAACCATACCAAAACAAACAAACAAAGGAAAACTAAAGTCTCACTAATCTCTAGTACTTTTCCCAACAAAATTTTCACTTTAATGAGCACTTTCACTTTAAATGAGCACTTTATTCATTTTTACTAGAAGGCATTTCCTGTGGTCTGTGAAGCTCCATCTGTTTATGCCAATGGAAGAACCAGTCATAGTTATTTGACCAAGACAAACAGGTACTTACTAACTGTTTGCTCCTTGCTATAATGCCAGTATACCCACTTTAAGTTATAGCAGCTTGCCAAATGCAGCCTGTTTATGCTTGTGCCTGCAGCCACCCATGTGGACTTATCCTATGACCTTATTCCAGGGAATGATCTTTCAGAGAAATGCTAAACTCGGTGAATTGGGGAAAACCTGTCCCACCTCTCCCTCACTGTGCACTAAGATCATGCATTGAGTTCCAGTGTAGTCGCTTCCGATTCACTCTGGGACAAAAAAAGCTTCATGCAGCTGAATCCTGCTCTTCAGGGCTCACAAGAGCAGACTTTATCTTCTAGACTTCTCTTCAACCACAGATAAAAGTTGTATAGAGGAACAGAGAGAAGCAGCACACTGACCTGCTTTACATAAGCAGTATTTATTACAATCAACATTTGAGAATGTCTGTAGCAGCTAACATGTAGCCAGAGAGATTCCCTCCTTCTCAGTCTCTTGAGGCTCAGCAAAAAGGCCTTTGAGACATTGCCCTCCTTGTATCTCCCAGAGCATGAATGCTGATACAGGATGGTAAAAGAGACTTTTCAAACAGTTGCTACTGTGTAATATTAATTCAGACAGAATGAAGTAATGCACTTGCAAAAGAAGATAATAATATATAGAGAATGACCAGAGATAGATCAAGTGCTGACCCAACTTCAATCCATTCTTGAACTGATTCTTTTTTTTTATTTATTTCATGAAGTCTATTGTGTTTATTGTGTTGTGGGTTTTTTTTTTTTTTTTTTTTTGCTTTTTTGGGGCTGTTGTGACACTTTTCCTTTTAAACATAAACTTTGAAGCATCAGAGGGACAGGATTTTTGGTTGGTTGGTTGGGTTTTTCTGTGTGTGCATGCTTAGGAATATCAGTTTCACAAAAATAAATTCTAGCAAAATGAAGAGATTTTCAAATCACTTTTTATAGCCACAGAATGTAGCATACAAATGGAATGGTTAATCTAAATGAACTCCCCAAACACACCTTTTGGCATTCACCTGTTGTTTCTATACAGGCACACTTTGTAACAGAAATGTACCAGGATCTGATTTCTGATTGTGTTCCATCCTTACAAAATGAACCTACATTGGCACATATTTAGGATAATCATTCCAGCTGAAGGTACTGAACTTTCCCTGTCACTTGTACCAGGAGATAACAGACCCCCCATCTTCCCCATCTTCTCAGAATCAGATCAGTCACATTGATAGGCATTGTGGCATTATCCTTTTACTGTCCTGCTGCATTTCTGGAAGACAACAAAAAGTCTTGCTATTTTTCTAAGGCATACTTTGGGCTTCTTGCGAGGAACCATCTTTTTTCACATAAAACACCATGGGGTATCCAAAGAAAGGAGATAAGACAGAATCTTCTCAGGCGTCTCTAATGAAGTTCAAAATACTACATTACTACTGAAGAGAAACAATGTTTATGAAAGGAAGAGAGCTAAAGAAAGCTAGGCAAGTGGGATAATTACTTTTTGTTTTGGTGTCCCTAAGGCTAAGGCACAGACTTGAAGACAACCCCAGTCTATATCTCTTCCTTTTCACCTACAAACATCTTTCATCTGGGGGGTTTTAGAGAGCTTCAGAGCCAGACCAAGAAATTGACTGTCTCATCCTTAGTATCTCCCAAAGTAATAGTTGTAGGCCATGGGAAATCCTATTTGTTCAGAAAGAATGTCACAAGGCTGATAATTTTCACAACGTTCACGCATCTGCTCCATTGGGCTTTTATAATACTCAAAGTACCTGCAGTAGACAAAGAGAGAAACATTTTTCCACAGATTCAACTAATGAAGCTGGACAGGTTTCACACTCTTGGCTACCACCAGAAAAGTGATTCCCCAGCATATCCACAACAGAACACTTCTCATAGTGACTTCAACACCTCTGCCATGGACATATATCTCCTTAACTAATGCTGGGGAAAGTTGAGAAAACTTAAAACAATTGCCCTTGACACTTTAGTAGAACATTTGTTTTTGTTTTCCCTCCTATTCTTAATCTAGAGACTGTTTCTAACCCCATCCCAGCTGCCTAAGACCTTTTTTCTTGTTTCCTATTTACCTTAATTTGTTCCCATTTTCTGCTCATTTTCCCTTTAGCCACTATTTTCCTTTAGTTAAAACAGTTTCCTTTCATCATCTGCACTTCTGTCTCCTCATAGCTTTTATTTTCCTAGACTAGACTAGACAAACTCAACTCTTTCAACTCTGTTGCTCACTCTGAATGCCCTTCCCAACTTCTGTTCCAGGCTGAATTATTCTTTCTTGAAGTCTGTATGCATTACTGTAGAAGTCCATCCAATATCTCATGCATTGCTACTTTTACTCTGTAGTGAAAATACCTTGGCTCACCCTCTAATTTCATTTGTTCCGTCTACAGTGCTGGACTAATCTTACCTCTCTATCAAATAATGCACGAAGGTCTCTCTCTACATTATTCCTTCCTAATTAATGCTTATAGCTGAAGCTACTTCTGTGAGGCCTCCCTTAAGGGCCATATGTTCAGTACTACTGAATGTCATCTTGCTTTTATCATTCTAGGTTCAACATCACTTAGTTCCTCTGCTACAATACTCTGATCCTCTTCCTTATGGATGGGGCCTCTCAGTTTCATACCATTGAAAATCCCTCCTGTCCAAAGATGGATTGAATAAGCATGTTTGAAATTTCTCCAGATCTTTATAGATAGAATTTCTGCACAAATTGACCTATTTCTAGTAGGCTCTGCAGCTTCAGAAAGAACAGCCATTCTGACTTGACCTCATTCATGCAATAAAGTTCTGCATCCTATAGGGAGCTATAGACAATGAGCAAGGCTCTGTGATACTCCATTCCCTGGAGTTTGGCTTTAATGTTCATGCAGCTTAGAGCAGTTTCTAACTTGTATCTTGCCATCTCAATAGCTTGCTCAGACAGTTTGTACTGTCTTCCTGCCTGGGAAGAATAACAAACTCAGCTATGAGCTCATCCAAGGATATTTATGGAGAAAAAAAAAAGTCTATCAAGATATATATCCTAAACCTTTTTTTTTCTTCTGTGTTTGAAGATAATGACATAAGTATACAAAAAAATGAATGCTTTCCTATGTCCCATCACCTTACCACCCTATTTTTACAATAAAACCAGGGTCCTGCCCTCAGCCTTAGCCTGACTCATGAGTTCCATGAGTTTTTACCATTCATACACACTGGATCTCTTCTGCCTTCTCACAAAGGCATTGGCAACTTCCTTTTTAATCTTGATGCCTGTCAAGAGAGAACACAACAAGTTAGTGATACAGGGCATTGGTCTATACAAATTGGACCAATATAGTTCCTGAAGAGGACTGTTTGCTCTCTTTGCAAGTTGTTGTGGTCCCTTCTAATTCTCTGTGCCCCTCTCTCCACCACTCTGCCTACTTGAAGTCCAACAGTTGGGCTCCCTCCTCACCCCAGCCTGAGCAGCTACATGGAGCAACTTTCCTTTCCATCATAAACTCCATTCCCTTGTTGCTTATCAGGACCTGAGTCCACAGCAGATAAGCGTAACCATGACAGCATAAAAGATAAATAAGGAGAGAATGAAACCTTGTGCAAATCTGAAGGGAATGACATTCTTTCTCTTTGGTGTAGCTAACTTCAGAGTCTTGGTTTCCTTTCTGTATTCTAGCTCAGACTAATAGTGATGTGAGATACTAATGACTAGGCCTTCCAAATGCCTCCAATGAGCCATAAACAAATGGCTGCATGAAAATAAATAACAGGATCTGCACATGCAGTGTTCCATGAAAGGCAGAGAGTGTAAATAAAAAGAGTAAGTATCACCTAGGAGGAAATATGCCCATGAGGTGCAAAAATCCTGGTGTTCAGGCTTTGATGAGTGCTTGAATGCAAGTGGTCTTTGGCCATGGCAGCGTTCTCACCTAGGCTCCACTAACTCACTGTGTGAGCAGAAGTTGCTTCTTTCTCCCTTGGATCTGTGCTTGCACACAGCACACAGGAGTGCTGCACAGCCTTCTCCACAAAATAGCATGAAGAGTGACTTCACCTCACCCTAGCCAAAAGAGACAGACCCAGGAGACAGACCACCACTGTCCATGAGACAGACCCACACCAGCAGAAGTGTGTACACATAGCAGCATGATGGCACAGAGGCAGCTGCACACCAATATGTTTTGACTGAGAAACTGGTCTGCCATCACTGTCACTGGGGGAATTCAGTTTCTAAGACCCATGCCTGTGGACGTCATTGAAGGAGAAGGCAGGTTTTGTGTCCTTCGTTCATCACCCTGGTGTGTCTCACCATGTTTCTGCTTGGCAAATGGCAAGTGCCCCATGTGAGGAGACACCTCACTAGAAAGCTGATTTTTGGTCAGGGTCAAAGTACTGGCTGAACAGAAATTACCAGTTAATGATCTGTCAGAAATCACCACTTTTACCATAAAGACCTGCTTGGTTTTTTTTGTCTGTTTGCTTGTTTTCTGTATTATCCCGATCCATGTTTGGATTGACTGACTAGAGAAATACTGGCATTCATAGTCGCCAGCAGCAATGTTACCCTTAAGGAGTTAGAAAGGAGAGTGCCATGGGAGGAACAAGAGGGATTTTCCATGCAGATTTCTGCCAGGCTCAGCTTGTTGTGGACACTCCAAGCTATGCAAGTCCTCATGTTCTGGACAACCTGACAGAGGAGGCTGTCACCCTAGGCAATATCCGTGGAATCTGCTTGCTTTCAGGCTTTTTAGGATGTGGGATTTGGCAGCGATGTCACAGCCCATTCTAGTGTGGCACCAAAGCTTTCTGCTCTGTGATCCTGTACACCAGATTGGCTGCTAACTGCTCCCTGTAGGCCCTAGGGATGATGCTGCTCTAGAAACAGGCAGAATTTTGACCCAGTTGCTGGAAAATCTGAAGTGGGATCTCCTTATAGAGACAGGGCTAGCTGGAGAATGGAGAAGGAGCCTCACCATGCTCTTGATAGAAGAAATTTCCCAGTCAAAAACTTGCCTTTCTTGGGAGCATAATGCTTCTCAGTGAGACAACCTGAAGTTTCCTCTTACCATGAGGCTTCCCTGAAACATACATACATCCTATCGCAATCTGCAACACCACTATCCTTATGTGGCTAAATTTCTTGTCTTGGGGATGTAACCACTTTACGTAGGTTGCTCAGGGAAGACAAGAGATGGGCAATGTTATCTTACTCATATCCCCTGTTTCATGGAGAGGAGATGTGTCCAGCTTCTAACAACCCACAGGGCTGTGTCCTTTCTTACTTAATGGTTGTGGCTACTTAGGGTTGTCAAAGTGCTGGCTACAGCACTTGCATGCCTGGAGCGATGCTGCACTGCCCTTGCAGGGAGCCTGACCTCCCTTGTGTTTCCTACTCCAACAGCTTATGAAAGTCAGCCCCTCTGCTACTGGCATCCAGCCAACAACATCTCAGGGACTTCAGCAGGGATGGAGAAAAAGGGTAAGCAGAGAGAGGAACTCAGCATGGCTTCTGTTTGTCCCTTGAGCCTAGTTATAGGTGAAAGGGAGGTAGATGTGGTAGGATTCAGCTGAGGGACAGTCACAGCAATGTACTCACTGTCAGCACTGGGAGATCCAGAGGGTGCTTTGGAATCTGGAAGACAGACAGACAGATGAAGAGGAGTTACTTGTGAGTCCTGTTCTCCTGCTGCATTCCATGACTGGATTACTCTGCTTACTGGATGGGTCTAGCTCCCTGACTTTCCCAGAAAACATGGATTTTATTAACATCCAGAATCTAGGGGCAGATTTCACCACAGCAAAGTTCATCCATTATGTCTGGATTTGTTCAGTTTCAACTTCCTCAGTGCAGGGTTAAATGACACATGACAATATAAGCACTGTGGAGGCTGGATGAAGAAAATTTATCTCTTTCCTCCTCCTCACCCTTGCTGGTTCCAGCTAGGGGACAAACTAGGCAAAATACCAAATTTGGTCAGAAACTGGTGATGGTTAATCATCTCTATCTTTGGAAAAAAAAAAGAGATTCCTTCTCCCTAGGGAAAAATCACAAGCTATTTATGGGGAAAAGAAATAGGGCCTAGAGTTAGGAACAGCACTACCTTCACAACTTTGTGGCCCAGGGTTGAAGTACATGGTTTATTAGCCCACTCAAGAGGAATCTGTATACTTTATTTCTGTGTTTGGTCATAACCACAACCCTTAAAACTCACTGCAAACACCCAAGGAAAGTGTCCTTCAAGAGAAATGTTAGGTCTCCTCCTTATCTTGTTTTTCCCATCCTCTGCTATTTCACCTATGGCTTTTTATTGAACAGTGTCAATTCCATACAAGTCTTCAGAACTTAGTGTGAATACATTTACAGGGAAGAAGAGGATTTCAGGGACCAAAACAAAATTATGCTTAAATAAAAACCTTGTGTAAGAAAAGTTATGTCTAGTTCTAGTTCTATTTTTAAGCAACTTATACATTCCTTGGGTTTCAAAATAAATAAATAAAAGATTAAAAATGACTACAAGACTATTCAAGACTATTAAGCAATCCAGGACATAACAATAGCTAAAAAAAGCCAAGTACTCAATAGTGAGAGAGTCAGAAGGAGACTCTCTGACAGAAAGAAAACACAGATCAAACAAAATATATTTGCCAGCATTGAATCATGACATATCTGATGCCAGGGTGAATTAAACTCTGGAAAGCACAAACCCAATATAGGCAAACACAAGACAATTTATGGCTCTGCCTCCCTTTGCCTGATCTTTCCCTCATTCCCACTCTCTGCATTAATTATAAAGATGCCACTACATTTCTATTTCTTAATCATAAAGCTACTATGGTTAAATCACCTTCCTGTAAGATGTGCTCTTATTTCAATGGAACAACCTTCATTTTTTTTTTAACCATCCAATAAGGATTTTTTACCTCTCCAGAAATTCTCTACATTCTACACTTTTCAGCAAGTGAAGACTCGACTCAGTGGCTATCTCTGAGATCCTACAGCATTCCAGTGCTGGCAGGTAAAAAGCACCTCTCCCAGTGGTCAGCACAGCTCTGCCCTGCAGCTCAAGCCTCATGCTCAAAACCGAGCATGCAGCATACCTTTGCCAGTCCACCTAAATACCAAAACAAGTGTAATGTTTAAACATGTCAAAATATCAGAAAGCACCGCCACAGTTCAATGGTGTAATTTGTTTTGTGTGTTTTGGCCCCATCTCATTTATGCCTGTGTAATGTAACCAAGCAGTCCTGCAAAAGATCTCAAGCTGTGCAACGACCCACTGCACACTGCCCACCCCCAAGCTGTAGGTCCCTATGGACCAGAGGGAGACTCCCTACAAGCCATAGGATTCAGTGACTCTCGCGGAGAGCGTCCCAGGACAGACATCCCCTTACCTTTTTCACAACAGCAAAGAACTGCCAGGGCCAGAGCCAAGATCAATGGTGCCAGCAGACTCCTCATCGTCTTTGGCTCAGCCGCTCACCCCCAGCCTCAGAGCTCTCCCAGAGGCTAACGGGTTTCTCTGGAGCTTGCTCGCAGGCAGCAGTTTATATGCTGTGATCATCTGGAGAGCCCAGGGCTCTGGCTTGTGTTCCTGCAGCTGGGCTCCAAAACAAAGGCTGTCTTTTGAGCCAGGAGGTATCTGCCCCTGGCAGCCATTTTGACATCCATCTCAAGGCTCTTGGCATTTCCAGATTTTATCTGAATTTCTGAACAGGACTATTGAAGAAAAACAACTGGGATGAAAAAAATAGCTTTATTATAAACATGAAAGTCATCGTGCTTCTTTCAAAAAGGCCATGGGAGAGATTAATACAGCCTGAGGTGGAGCAGTTCCTTTGGCGTGCTGGGACTTCATTACATAGAAGAGTAAATGAGACTGAGTGATGACACTGTTCCCTCACCCCACCTCACCCATCCCTTTGAAGAAAAAATCAATTCCTTTAAATGGTTTGTGTATGATAAACACACAGTGGATTTTCACGTCAGACAATTTCAACAAACTGCTTTGGAATGCTGAGTTTTTCACATTTTTGTGAGCTGTGGTAGTTTGTTTGGTTTTTGATTGTTTGTTTGGTTTTTGTTTGTTTGTTTGGGGGGGGGAGGGACTTCCTGAAAAGTTTTCTATTTTCGAGGTAATTAGCTTGCCTTCTCACATTTCAAAACCAAATAAACCCTGAGACTTTACAGGTGTTTTATTCTTCAAGTTTGAGTAACTAGAGCTTTCACCTGGCCCAAGGTCCTTGCGTCCCACAGCTGCTGTCAGTGCACTCACAAGCAGCAACAAAGCTGGCACACTCCCACATGGATGAAGTGACCCCACCACCTCTACGCATGTTCGTCACAGAGGACCCAAAGCCCACACTGCTCCTGGTGCCGGCAACAAGCCACGACCATATAATTGAGAAAATCTCCAGCTGTGTTTTTTCCCCTGCTCAGGGGATTTTCAGTGAGTACTTAAGTACTGTAGCCCTACCTGAAGGCAAAACTGAGCCCTTGGGTATGACCCGAACTGAGGTGACCGTCATTTTAGCTTGGTGGCAAAATGTACTTTTTTATGACTTCAGAATTACCTGATGGGCAGTGTTCCTACTCACAAGCAGTAGCTTACTCTCTCTTGCTCCTCTCCACAAGCCCTCTTCAACACCCTACCTGAAAAGAAACCTACGCTCCCCAAATGTGCCAGACCAACACCCAACGCTACATCCTACTGTAACCACCCCCACAGACCTCACGGTTCCTGTCACCCCTCATGAGTCTTGCACGCTGCTCACCTTTCCCAGTTTCTAAAGGGAGGAGGAGTGAAATATGTAACAGCTAACAGGGAGGCATCCAAGGGCTGCAGAGTTCGAGCTTAAAGAGTTTCCAGGGATAGTCAGAACCACTGGGTATTCTGCCAATCCTTAGAAACACTGTCTTTTAATTTAGAGAAATTTCAGGATTAAAATAGATTTTTTTTCTGAAGTCCAGGAGAGATTGAATGTATATGCTAGCAACTTCCAGTAGAAGTATCTTAAAGAAAAATGATTTAAAAATAAATAAATAAAAATAACAGGAATTCCAGGAAAATCTCACTTCTCACAAGAAAGCTTAGAAGAATGTAAACATGCAGTTCCAGTGAGCCTTGCTTCCCTTCACAGGCTTTTCCAAGTTTTCTGATCAACATGTAGTGTCTTAGATATATTTTATTGCTTAAATTAATGAGATCCCACTTTAAATTTCTACTTTTTTTCGTTATTTTCCATATATTCCAGGCTACCAACCCAGACAGCTTGAATCCTAGAGCTTCAGTTTTGGTAGTGTTGCAATGTCAAATCAGATCCAGACATGGCAGATCTCTCTTCATTTCAGGATATGAAAGTTTTGTCTGACTGGTAATCCCTCAGTACATCTACTCAGGAACATTCATAAAAACTTAGAGTGGAAATAAACCTAATCCATATTGCTTTTTTTTTTTTTCCCCCTAACCTCACTTTTCACTCACTTTTTATTTTGGATAAATTTTAGAAACTGTTCAGCTTGTGTTTTGTATTAGAAGAGTTTTCAACAGATACACACATTTCTTTTCAAAAGCTCATCTCTAAAACTGGTAAATCCTTGAAGCATATTTCTGAAGAAGGTGTGTGTTCTAATGTATAAAGTAGGTTTAGCTCTAGGCTTAATTTCACAGAATAGTCAACAATTTGTTTATTTATCTTAAAGCCTTTGATAGTGTGCCATGAGTCTTTCCCACTTCTATACTTTGCAGGTCCCTGAGGAACCTGGAGATACGAATATTGAAACAAGCTGTGGTGAGCTGATATAGAAGATTTCATGCCTTTTACATATCCCATGCCAAAGGGTATCCAGGCAGCTGTGGTCACTGATCAGTTGGGAACAGTATTTAATTCTCCCACATTTCAGCGCTGGTGCCTGTTGCCTTGGGACACTCTGTGAGGTGCTCTGGGGCTGATGCTGGTATCAACCCAACTGTGGCCACCCTCTTTCCTCAAGGGAAAGGTGCTTGGCAACCTGTGAGCAAGGTCAGGCAATACCTTGATTTTGAATGGGGTGTGAACATTGAAACAAAATTGCTCTGGGTGAATTAACTTGAGCTTGTCAAACACTGTGGGTTTCTTTATTTATCACCTGGAATCCCATGACCTCCTTTCAGCCCCTCATCAGCACCAGTGGCCCTTCTTCCTGCAGGGCTGCCGCAGCCATGCTACCTCCTACCAGCACAGGAGCATGTTTCCCCTTTCTCCTCAGAGCCCTTGTTTTATCTGTTTTCTTGCTGAGGCTTCAGCTCTGAGGTCTTGTCCCTCATGGGCTTGGTACAACACAAAAGGAGACACCTACAATATAAGAAGGGATACTTTGGCCTGAAGCTGTCTTTCCAACTTCAGCAAAGGCAAGGCTGAACCAAGAAGAGTATACACTTACAATCTGAATTTTAGCTTAATTGTAGTAATAATATATTTTTTTCCAAAACTGAGGAAAGATGCTACAGATTTCATTTTTAAAAAGTGCATCTCGCACTGTTTTATGAATACTGCCATTTCAAGATGTTTTAAGTTTGTGAAATGAAGTTTGGCAGGGACATCTAAAAGAAGTCAGTTTGGGGCCCTGAAGCATAGACTTCATAGATCCTTTCAAACTCATGTGATTCCCAGGTGCTTTTTTTTTTTTTTTTTCCCTATTGTTTTTCCCTAATCCATACCAGGTTCTACACTAGAGAAACTCAGTTTCTTCGTGGAAAATTCTCCCCCCAAAAAACAGTGACTCATGAGAAGATAGTATCAAACCAAAAATTTATTGTGTAGCAAGACACCCACATCCTGAACTCTCTCTGATCTCTGCTATGTCAGCTCAGCACTAATTTAATTAACACAGAAGGCAGGAATCTATGGCTATGTGAGAGTGAAGCAGCATGCAGGTTAACATACAAGGAAACAAGCAACTGAATATATCCATTGCCATTGCTTTTTCGGGGAGGATACCTTGGGCTCCAGGCCCCAAGGTGAAGACTAAACTTCCTTTACTTAGTCCTCCTCCTCCCAAAATAGTGCCTGTAAGCAGCAGCATAGCCATGGTGATAAGCATAGCGTTCACAGGGGTAATAGTCCTCGCACATCTCTCTCTGACGTTCCTGGGGGGCCTTCATACGTTCCCTGATCCTGCAAAAAAGAGAAGAGGGATAGGTGCTGTCAGCTTCAATATGTGCTCCACAGCTACCCACCAAGATGCTTCTCCAGTCTCATGTGTCATCAAACTTCTGAGGTTAGGGTGTACCAGCTGCTGTATTCTCCACACCCCAGGGAGTGATGTGACTAAACCAGGAGCATTTGTCCCCTCAGGCAACCTTTTACATCAGGGCTCAGCATTGTGGCCTGTGTCTCGGAGGCCACTGCCAGCTGCCCTCAGTGTCTTCAGCCTGTAACTGCTAGTATGGGAGGCTGGTTCTGCCTCTCCAGCTGTCCAGTCAGCTCTGCCTCTCCAGCCTGCTCCAGTCAGCAATTCCCAAAGCTACAAGCGTACCAAGGAGATGAAATGTATTATAGAGGAACAACCTGGATGTGCTGAGAGGGGATGCACAACACCTCTCTAAGAGAGGATTTCTGCACCTCAGATTTAATTTTCACAAGCCCTGCATGAGATAGGAAAGTCCCTGTATACAACTTTTATTGATAATTCAAGAAGGCCTACAGAGAGACCTGTGATATAGGGGAAAAAAAAAAAGTTGTGCATATTCTGCATGTGATTCAAAAGTTGGAACCGTATCTCAAACTGATCTTATTTTCTAGCAATCCCACACTGATTCCTTCTCATTATGTTGGTGCTCTTTCTTCGGATGAATTAAGCAGAGGCTTCAAGGAAGTTGCCGTGGCTTTCTTCACTGGTACCAGTCTGTGCTTGCCTAGGACAGACCCCTCTTGCCTCTCATCCTGAGACAATACGTACCTCTCCTGAGACAGGCCTTCTAGTCTCGTATCAGGTTGTATGAAGTCATTGGCCCTCCTCCTGTTGATGAAGGGATCTGAGAAGGCAAGGGATTGTTCAGATCACATTGATACTTGGGCTAGGACAGATTTTTGCAAAGATCATCTCCCACCTTTGTGTCAGCCTCCTTGCCCACCTTCCCATGCACAGTGAAACCTAGGACATTTTAATATTCCCTCCTGTCCAAGCCTGCTGGTTGATGCAGAGACTTTCTCCCCTGACTTGTGCAGCCTGTATGGAAGTGTACACACTGCTCTTGTTGTGGTGGAGTTCGGCCAAGAGGTAGGTGCCAAGATAGTTAGATCAAGGGAGGTCTAGGCACACGGAGAAGAATTCACACAAACGTGTAATTGCAAGTATAAAGAGAAAGGGCCTGAATGAGTTTATCTTCCTCTGACATTATGCAGCACTGAACAAAGGTCTATGTGACAACTTTGGACTGAAGAAGTGAAGGCTGAGAGGGGATCTGATCAGTGTCTATAAGTACCTCAAGGGAGGGAGTGCAGAGGATGGTGCTGGTCTCTTTTCAGTGGTGGCCACTGATAGGACTAGAGGAAATGGCCGGAAACTGAAGCACCAAAAGTTCCACAGGAACTTAAGGAAAAATTTCTTAACAGTGAGGGTGACAGAGCACTGGAACAGGCTGCCCAGAGAGGTTGTGGAGTCTCCTTCTCTGGAGATCTTCAAAACCTGCTTGGATGCAGTCCTGTGCCACGTGCTCTAGGTGTCCCTGCGTATGCAGGGGGGTTGGACTAGGTGACCTCTAGAGGTCCCTTCCAACCCTAAGCATTCTATGATTCTATGATTCTAGGTGCCTGAAGGTCACCTTTATCTCTTTTGAGAGAAAACATGGTCCTGTTACAGTTAGGGGTCTGTGGGTGTCTTTGGCTTCTGACTAGCTGCTTTGTGAAATCCTTTTCCAATATGACTGATTTCTTTTTTAACTTTGACCAATCTATTCTCTCACCTCTGTAGGTCACTGCTCATTCCAAAGTGAAACTCTCCACTCTGTATCACTAACTCTTCCAGAACAAGGAACCTTCCTGCCTGCCAGTCCCATGTGCTTATTCCAGTGTGTTAGGCAGTAAAATTCTCCAGGTTCTTGGAGAAACACAGATCATGTCAGTACCTCTTTCCACACTTAGTCCACAGTTTTTTGGATAATGTGTTTTTCTGGTGTCCCTTCATCTGCTTTAGGAGCATGCAGCTGGGATCTATGTTCATCATTGTTTGTTTTCCCATTTGCATTATCCTGCTTTGCAAAACACACTGGTACACACTTGTGCCCAAATGTGCAAAATCTTTTTTTTGGTGTTCTTTTCCTATTCATCCTCAAAACCTAACACCAAAACATAATCAATTTCCTTTGTTCTAAGTATAAGGAAATTAGCTAGGAGATATCTGTAGCATACTTTGAATTAAAGAAAATAAGAAAGCAGTCTCTTACGGAGATATTCATGGGATTCCATGCTCTCGTGGGACTCTGGGTAAAGAAAGAGTAAAACACTTAGACAATGTATTCATGGGATACACAGTTTTTCACACATCAAGGATCCATAGAACACCCACACAACAAACAGAAAACAAGTTTTAAGACACATGTTTAAAAGGAAGAGAAAGCAATGATCAGGATTACATAGGTGTATATGTAGGCATTGAGGGTATTCAGGAGTGTAAAACCGAGCTACTAATATCTTTTCTATGTCTTCCAGGTCCATACTTAGTTTTCCAAAGTACTGGAAGTGCTTCAGCCATATGTTCCAATCACTACCAAGGGTATGATACCTGTTTATCTTCAAAGCCTGGATATATCCTTAAGTAATGGATTAGCACTGTAAAATGTCTTTGACTCTCTAATGAAATAGCAGTCCAGTTCCATCTGTACAGAACTATGCATGACAAAAAAGGCGGCAAATATTACAAAAGGAGAGAAGGAATTCTCTCCATTTGCAAGGCAGAAGCTACCATTTGGAGTACAGCAGGCGCTCTCAATTGGAGAAAAGCCTTTGGGAAAACCACAACACCTCCTATGCACCCCTCCACGATTCCCCTTTTATATTGTACCAATGATCAGTTCTGTTCCCCAACCTCCTTCCTCATTAATCATACATCATAAAGAACAGAGCAAAAATGATTTAGTGTCCTCCACTCCTCTTATATGGTCTAGAGGGGCAGAAAGAGGTGCAGGCTGCAGAGTGAGCTGAAACAGCAAGTAAGATGTTGAAGCATCTCAGTCTGTCAGCTGTGATGACGGGAGCTGACTGAGCTCTGCAGCAGAGCTAGGAAGGTCTGGAACAGGGGCAGGAAAGCAGGCAAGAGATCAAAATAAGGGAAAAGAAAAAAAAAACAAAAGCAAAAAAAAACATATCTGAACAGACTCAAAGCTGTTTGCAACTTTGGAGTTATTGCCCCACACAATAAGAGAGGTCACCTACCATAGCAAGTAGCAACCATCACGAGGAAAGCCAGGAGTGTAAAGACAATAAGAGTGCGCATGGTGGGAGTGCAGGGAGGAACCTCTCACGCTGTGTCTCTCGTTTTCTTCCCACTGATGCAGACGGAGATCCTGGGCTGCCTGCAAAATTAGCACTGGAATGTTTATAATGGAAACAGAGCCAGGGAGGGGGGAACCCATGAAAGACCCAGGGGAAGGTGATGGCTGGCTGGTACACAGTCTTTATGGAGCTGTTACAAAACATCCTCTATTAAGCAGACTGAATCAGGTTTTGGGAAGGAGGGGGCATGCCCCTTTCTTCTCTCAGTTCAGGGCTGAGGACCGTAACTCAAAGACAAGCACATCACTAACACCACACATTCAGAAAAGCTGGCCTCCATAAGTGGAAGGAATTCAAGTGGCTGCAAGGGAGCCACAGGGAGGAGCCTGTGCTTATCCTAAATGTACATGTTTGCTTTTCTAATTTTTCCTTTCATCTGCCCTCTTTGCCCTCGCCATCCTGTGTCTGGATATACAAAGCCCAGTCTGTTCTCTCAGTTTTGGCCACAGAGCAATGGAGAATAAGCCCTGTCATGTTTCTTCCTGACTCAGTTCTCCTCCCTCCAGTTGGACCCCACTGCACTCCAAGCCTGCCAGAATCAGAGAAGGGCTCCAGACCTGCTGTCCCTTCCCACCTTCTTCTTTATTTTCAGTACAGATAAGCAGCAACCTATAAAGATCCCTTCTGCTGAAGGTTTTTTTGTTTGTTTTGATATTTTTTTTTGCCTTTCAGGTCACAGCAGCACCCAGATTGTTGTCCCTGCAGGTCCTCACTGCAGTACTGCCCCTACACTACTTTTCCAGCACAAGGGACAACACCTTGTTGGAAGCAGAGTAAACCATGTTTCTCAGACCTGCTGACTTGCTGGATCGACAGTTCTTGCCCCACTGGGCACTCAAGTTGGATATAACGTAAAGCTCCTCAGCCAGGATGAGTGTCTCATGCTAGCAGTCTCTGGGAGCACTATCTCACCTGATAATATTCCAAAACCTTATCTGGGACCAAAGTCATGGTCAGCAGTGATAGGCAAAGGGGGCTGTTCCCTTTTTGCAGCTCTGTGGCATAGTAGGGAGGAATAAAAGAGGCAAGAAGGTGCTGCAGGGATGAGCCTCCCTGTTGGGACTTAGCTAGAGTATGGACATTGTTGGGCAAGTGAGGGAGGGAAGGGCACAAAGCCAGTGCCTCAGCAAGGTGACAGTGGGGCTGAGACTATGCAAACTGCCTGCGTATGAGTGCAGGTCACACTAGTTATTGCTATCACTGAGCCAGGCTTTGGTGACTACATGTTTTGTCCATGTGCACATGGACTGCTCCCCCACCAATCTGCAGGTCCCCATCTACAAGCGGGTGGCAGGATTTCTCACAGACTGGGTGGGCGCCTCCAGGTGGATCACCTGGACTCCTCCAGGTGATCCCGCCTAAGACAGTGCTGTGTTGTCATTTGCTTCTGGATATCAAGCAGCTGCTGTCACCTGCAGAGGCCAGTCTGGGAGATGCACTGCCCATGACACAGTGAACAACTACAGGGCCAGCCAGCCAGAGCCTAACATTGCCCCAGTAGAGAGTGAAACTCGAGTAGGACAAGACTACTCTGGGCTTTATAGCCTTCCTCTTCAACGACAAATTCAATCTGCCTATAACTTGTGATCACTGGGAGATAAGAGGAGTAGGTCCTTCAGCTTCAGGCCAATGATAAAACATTGCTTTCTTCCCCATTATCCCACCCCATGTGGAAAGAGGCTCAGTCACACACCACCAGTGCCCCTTATACCATCCATATCCTGGCCATTGAGTGCACAGCCTAAAATGAGGAGAGAAACAAGGTTGTGCTGTAGCAGAAAACAGAGGTTTGCTGCAGTCACAGAATCACAGGAAAATTGAGACTCTTCTGCTGTCCTGTGCCCTGCCTCCCCAGTATCTTTAAGGAAATTCTGTGCTCTGTGATTGTTTGGATTCCTTGGAGTATTTGCGAATAATCACAAGGTTTGGGGATTATTGTGCTTAATGTGGATTTTATGGGTTTCCTTATTATCTTGTTCACTCTTGAAGCTCACAGAAACTGCCAAGAAAAGGAGCTTAAAGGAAGGGGTAGATCCCAGAGGGAAAGCTGTGGGGCATAGGGAGGAAGATATTGGTAGTATTTTGGTGAGGCTGTACAGTGGGAAACTCAGGCTTTCTGGCCAAACCCTCATTACTTACCTATCTTCACTCAGGACATAGCCTTCTGCTCCCTGGAATACCCTGCTCCCCTGTCAGATGACTCACTAATCCTAGAATGCCGGGAGCATCCCCTGCCACCACCACAGCAGAAGTGCCACAAACACCACTTTAACCCAAATGTTTCATTTTTCACCGCAGAGGCAATGTATTTTCAAAGGGCATATGAACATGCAGGCTGCAGAGCCCTGTATCAACAACTCTCCATTCCCTTGTGAAGACTTACCTCCTTTTGATTCCCCCTACACACCATGCCTCTCCAGCCAACATCTCCCCTCTGCAGGGTCCATGTGCTGGCCCAGAAGTGATGCACCACACAGCACTATAAGCCAAATCCCCCCTGCTTTCTAATAGCATCCACTACTTCGAAAAAAAAGAGCTAAGACGAATTGCCTTCAAATGCCTCAGTCTCCCAAGTAATAGGGAGTTAGAAAAACACCCATCCGACCTGTCTCCTACTGGAGTGAAGAATCACAATGTTACACAAACTATAGCAACAACACTTAACATTTTGCAGCTGTAAAGCACCAGTAAGGCACTAGTAACTAGCAGCCGTCCAGGAAAAGCAGGGCGGTCCCTGCATACTCACTGAGCAGACGCTTCCCTGTCAGCCAGCAGCTCTTCTCTGAGGGGACTGTTCTCCCAGCGTCCTGTACCCTGGAGTGAAGGAGAGGGGCCTTTTATTTATTAACATTGATTGGTGACTCCTCCCTTCTCCTGTCTCCCACTCTCGGTCCACCCCCAGGCTACCACCTTCTCTGTCAAAAACACCTTCTGCCCAAAGCCAGGAAACCAAAAACCTCAAGAAACTGAGCCAAGAGAGAGCAGAGAGCACACGAGCAGACTCCAGGGGATGGAGGGGTCACTCACATCCAGGCTTTCTGCGTCCAGGCCAGGACGTGGTGAGTGGGCAGAGGCTCCAAGAATGAACTCGCTCTCTCCTGCCGGAGCTGGACGTCTTCTCAGCCCGTCCTCCCACGGCCATGCTGTGACTCAGAACGGCGCTGCTGGCCAGGGCACCTGCTCTTTTTTCACAGTGAGTAACAGAGGTCAGGAGTTCTTCTCCTGTCTCCCTTAATGCTTCTGACCAGACTGAAGACTCACAAGGACAGTGATCTCTGCTTTCGGAGGCAGCAGTGAGATCTCTGACAGTGACAACTCCTACAAGCCCAAGAGCTGCCTTACATACCCCCATGCTCCCAAGATGCAGACGTACTGCTCACACTGGTGGCTGCTAGACCCACAGCAGTGCTGGACAGCCCAGCTGGACAACTAAGGGCACGTGCTGGCCAGGTTGGGTTATCAGGTTCCTGGTTGTGCCTGCATCCTCACCACCCAGGCCAACAGTGCCCACATGCCATGCTGGGATGCTGAGTCTGTGTGAGTGCTCCCCAACACTCAGGTGACATCCAGGCCTGGTACATACTCAAGTGTAAATAGTATAGATGGAGGCAGGTCTGGAGAAGCCAGATCTGCATTTAAATAAAAGGCACAGTTCTGACTGAGTTGAGAAGAGCTGTGATGGAGGGTACTAGTAAAGGCAAATCAGAAGCATGGGAGGTTGCATCCATTCAGTAGCCAAGCAGTTATTGACAGTGGTTTATCTGGTCCAGGAAAAAAAAGGTCAAGTGTGGCCTGACTTAGACCAAAATGAAAATAAGAGCGTAACTGTGGAGTTAGAGAAACAGCAATAGATCGTTTGGGACAGAGGTGAGATCTGCTACACATGCATAGAACTCCATGTCACATATAGCATATTATGTGTCCACGATCTATGCACTTTTCTCCGATCCCCTGTGAAAAGTTCAAAGATGAGATCCCTAGCTCCTGCAGTGATTGATGATTTTAACTGGAGGAATTTCAGACCTGCCTGTGGCAACAAGGTAGTCACGATTATATGTGTACTTGTACAAACAGCCATGGGCCCTCCCAGCCTGAGAACAGTAACAGTGTTACGGAAACATTTCTAGAGTATGTCATTGCTAGAGAAACCTTTTGGAGCTTTCGCTTGGGTCCTTGTAACCCATAAGACTGGTTATTGGGTATTCACTTCAAAGTATGAGATAGCACATGGAAGAAAAGTCTCCCTGCTCTCTGACATGGCAGAATGTGGGCCAGGGGCCTGTCTTCTCAATTCATGCTTCCTAAATGGAGACAATGTGATGTGATTGGAGTGAGTTGGAGACAGTTGTGATGTGAGAAGGGAACCAGACAAACAAGGCAGAAACTCAAGCAGTGGAAAGGGTCAACACAGACAAATTACCAATGGAGTTTCTCTTGGAGCTAGCTTTATTGAATACTTCTGTTACTGATTGGCTCAAAAAAGGAATGCTTGTTAAGAAAGTTTGTTGATGACACAAAGCAAGAAAGTAGTATCAGTGGAAGGGAGGCCTGGGAGTTCATATAGCTGGAAAAGGATAAGCTCGAAAGCTAGAGTAACAGAGACAGGGTAATACGTATTAGCTTAAATACAAGGTTTTTCAAAGGACTTGGGAGCAAGAATTCCTGTTATAAAATAACAGCTCAAAAGCTGGAAGCAACATGGGAAAAAAAACAACAACAAATAGTTATGAAACCAACAATCAGAAAGATGATCACAGAGGGTGATTTTGAGATCTCTGATGAGAATCTGCCGGCTGAGATGGGAAACTGTTAGTAGCCCTGCATAAGGTACCCGGACAGAAGTCTTCTGCATGGCCCACATCACCCATGTTCATAGAAGAGGTATTCTGGTGGGAAATAGTGTAGAGGAGGATGGGAAATAGAGATCGTTTTCAAAGAAAAAGAAAAAAAAAGTTCCCTGAGTTCAGTGAACTCAGGGAA